CAAAGTGTTTATGAACACACAAAGATGGTCTGAACTTCCTAATAGCTAAGGCTTCAACAAATTTCAGGATCCCTCCTCAACATATTTTGTAAATAGATCTACATGAAGTAGCCATATCAATCCTGTGACCTGTCTCAATGATATATTTGGTGATCGAAGAACTTGGACGTCTGCTACATCAACATTTATGGGTTAAGGTGATTTAATTTGCTTCTGAAGCCACTTTGGAATATGTTTCGAGGCCTTTACTTGCATGGATGTATTAGTCCTCCCTATATATTTGTCACTGCACATACCTTTGAATTAGTAGGTGTAATGGGATGTGACATTGTCATTCATATACTGTGAGGCTTTGCGGGAATATACGGGCTTCGTAGAAAACTAAGTCCGATGTACTATTATTTTTCGCCCTATTGATTTTCATTGTAATTCAGCGTTTAACTCAGCCTTCCTACCTGACCTCTTTTTACTTTCTCACCCCTTATCTTCATGAGTTTTTAGATGAAAAAAGCCTCTGACCGATTTGCTAAGTATCGCTCACCTACAACATTCACATTGATATTTGTTCCATATCACCATGTATAAAACCGTTTTGATTATTATTATTATTATTTTTCACCTGGGTTCCTAGTGGAACATGGCACTTCAGTGGCACATCGCTATTTCACTCTATTCTCTACAGTCTTTTCAACACGGCTCCACTACTCCCAACAAGTTTTCACTTCTCCCTCACACCATCTCCTCCACGTCACCTCCTCCTCAGCTCAGACACCAAACTCGTCGTTTCCCATTCCGCTTCAACTCAATGACCTCACGTAGTGCGTGACCTCCTCAAACCCTCTTCTCAATCTATGTCCATTCCACTACACTACACTCCACTCCAATACATCTCCACTGTCTTCTACTCCCCACTTATTAGGCGATACGTTCTCGGTTGGTTGGTTGGTTGGTTCCATGCCAACCAGACGACCAGCCAGAGTGAGTTCCTTCTTGCTTATTCTTATTATGCACAAACCGAAACAACATATAAACGATTACATCACATCTCACTATGTTTATCAATTTACATGTATGTGTGGACACTCATATATAGGGAGGAGTAATCGTGATGTGCAGTTAAGTAAGGCTGAACATGTACCTAAGTGGCTACAAAAACAAATAACCTCAACAGATCCGATAAGTACAGGTGACAAACATCCATCTTCGTCTATCGCTAAACATTTACTAGAAACTAACCATAGGATAGACATGAAAACAGCCTTTAAAGTACTACATAAAAGTGGTCAGAGCCGAGTTCTTAAATTTATTGAAGCTCTTACCATCCGTAAATTTAAACCCCCTTTATGTATACAAAAACAATTTGTACTCACGTTGAACCTACCTTGGTAGTATTGATTTCAATTTTCATACCAAGAATAAGGTTTTCCTTTTCTATCCCTTCCTTTTCCTATGTTTCCCACTAACTTCATTGACCTTTTCGTAAATTTTCATATAAATAGTTCGATAAGTCCATGTGTGATCAGATTGTTCGAAATGTATAGCGCAAATACATCACATGTTTCAGATAATCTTCGTCTTCTCATCACGCTGTTTAAACCCCCACAAGTGTTCGAGTAGAGAGCCTTCAATAAGGTGATGTACTTACTCGGCACGCCTGTCAGTGAGAGACATTGCCATAAGACTCGGTTAACGGAGGTGAATGCCGCCTACAGGTCGATAAATACACCTAGTGTCAGGCGTCGGTAAGCGTGCCGGTGTCCCAGAGCCTGGCGCAGTATAAATATCTGGTCAATACACCCGCGGAGTAAGGTTACCAGATCTGATCATAAACTAAACTTTCACCCCATCTGCTTGGATTCACTTGTGACATAATTGGTATCGTTTACCTCTACACTATGCATATCGTTCACTAACTAATATATACCGACCTACACCTGGTCTAATTTGTTATTTTCTATAATAGTTTTCTACCACAAATGTTGTTTCTGTTGTAATAACAACTTGCTTAAACGATGATATTCAACCGTGTCCTAGGTGAAGCTGTAACCGAAATCTCTTAGGTATCTTACTTCTGCCTATTGAAGTATCGGTTTAGAATCAACCCTATGAAGCGACCAGGTGAATAATTCCCTATCAGATTTGTTTATTTGATTTATAACATACAGTGATACAGTATTACTCACTGGATGACGTTTCGAGCGTCAATTGTCTATTGGTCATAATCGCATGAATGTGTAATCACACTCCACTTTCGACCTTTGATGTTTATAGTCCTGTCACCTCTTATTGTTTATGTTGAACAGTAGTAAAGTTTTCCATATTTCTGGTACACATGGGTGTTACGTCATTTCTATTACATACATGTATTAGGTGAGGGTTGATTCGATGATCAAAGACACAGTAATCAATCTCTCTCTCTTTCTCCACCTAATTATATTGGACTTGACTACAGTGGTTTTATCCCACCCTATTGTATGGTAATGCGTGTATTGGGATAGCTGATTCGCCTTCTAGATTACTGATCATATTGGGGTCTGTCATTCTAAACTTAGCTAAATTCCTATGTTCCACTGTTCTGATTGACCTCTACTGGTTAGGTTGTTCTATGTACTTGACCTGACACAGTCACTACATGGAATTTGATAGATTAGATCATTTTGCTGAATTAGTTCTATCGAATCTTTAAGCCAGTCGACAAAGCTTATCTCGAAGTGAGTTTGTAGGTTTAAATTCCACTCTAATTCCAGCTTTGTTGAGGATCCTATGTAAGGTTTCTGATGTACCTTTCTCATAGGGTAATACATTGGATTCTGTGAACTCCTTTCTAATCACGTCATGTTTATTATTTCGTTTCTAGTGTCCTCCTACGAATTTCTTAATGAACTGTAGAGGATAATTCAGAATTGTTCGCTTCGGTTCCTTGTTTAACTCCTTACATTACTGACTAGTCAGTTTTATAGCTGTATCCTTTAGACATTTGACTAAACCAGCCTTCATTGACTGACATTGAACAGGATGATCTGAAGTTTAGGTATCTGTTGGAATATGTCGGTTTTCTGTAGACGGTAGTAGCAAAAACAGTTGATGGGTGGTTTGGATACTACCGTCAACCGGAAACCAACACATTCCAACTGGTATCTAGACTGCAAGTCATCTTATCCAATATCAGACAGTTAAGACGGATTTATTCAGATTTATTATCATTATTTGTCCCTTGGGTTCCTAGTGGAACATACGGCTTCAGTAACACGTGTCTCCGGTGTACTCTGTTCTCTGAAATCTTTTGAAGCTGGCTCCACGACTGCCCACCAGCTTTCATTTCTTGCTCACATGATCTGCTCCATGTCACCCTCAACTGGAACGCCCAACTCATCGCTTCCCCATTTGGATTCCACTCGAGAAACTGGCCTTGCCTGGTGCGTGATGTCCCCGAATGGTCTTCTCAGTATATGCCCAATCCATGTGCACTTCCTTCCAGTGCATATTTGTTGAGCGGTAGGTTCACCGTTGCTTCGTTCCCAGAGTGACTTCCTTGTTGCTTATCCTTATTATTCTGGCCATCTGAGAATCAGTAACGAGCTAGCGTAGCCAGTTGTTGATGAATGTCTGTAGTTTGTTGGAAATGCCTTTCGTAACGCGCCAAGTCTCTGAAGTATATAGAAGCACTGACTTGACTGACGTTGGTGTTGAAAATCCTTATTTTGTTCCACATTCTGAGTTCAGAAGACCTCCACACTGGTTTCAGGCTAATGAACCCCTGTCTTGCTGTCTTTCTGATCCTAGCTTTGATGTCCTCGTCTGTGCCTGTGCTGCTTGTAGTTGAAACGATGCTGCCTAGGAGGGTGGGTGAAAGATACTACTTCCTTTAAGTTTCTCTCGTTGATGGTGACTGGAGCTTGTTGTTGGTGGTGGTGGCGTTGGTTGGGTATCTTCATCACCTGTGTTTTCTTCACATTCACTTGAAGTCCCGTCTTCGTTCGCTGTCTCGCCTCTTCTGTCAGCTTGTTAGTTTTGGACTGTAGATCTTCGAGTTTGTACGATATTAGACACAAGTCATCGGCGAAATCCAAATCTTCTAGGATCTTTTCTCCGGTCTAGCTAGCGTATCCCCCTGTTCTCGCTCCTCACTGTTTGTTGCATGGTCCAGTCCACTACAATCAGGAATATCATGGATGATAGTAGACAGCCTTATTTATTCAGATTAATAGGAGGATAATGGGTACATGCATATTTACCATTGTGGTACGTTCTAGGTCATCTCACGTAGATTCTTTAAAACGCTCCTTTCTGTACTGATGCGGAATCTAACTGAAGTTTTTGTGAGAATTTCTTTATTGATTTTTGGTTGACATTCAATTACAGACTGACACCAGTTGGGGGGGAACTATTGGAAACCTGAGAGCACTGGACATGTTTCGTCCTAATATGCGAGTCTTCAGTAAGCATGAGTGACCATGCCAGGGGTCGAATGTAGGATCTTAAGGTCCCATGAGTAGCATGTTTTCATTTAGCCACGAGGTGAGAATCCAATACTCCATACTCCCTATTTCTGTCAGTTCACAACTTCCATCCAATACCGTCGTTTTGTCTCTCCCCCCCCCCCTCCCGCAGTCATGACTTCTCATTAGAACTTCAGGAATCACCTCTTGAAGAGAGTCATCAATGACCATTGAATTAATTCAAGCCATAAATGAGGATGGCGTTGGATTGAAGTTGTGCTATATCATGAACAATTAGATTTCGATCCAATAGCTCAATGGAAACATTGTAGCCGTAGACTCTGGAAAATCTTGTGTTCGACCTTTGGTAGAGTCATAAGTATACATACTGTACTGAAGAGTTCCAGTGTTATCGAGCAGACAGTGACATACATTTCAACCGGTGTTCATTCGATAAAAGTTATAAACTAATAGTTTGTTCAAAGTTTTAAAATTTTACCTTTACTTTTATTAATATTCATTAATTAATTATTATTTATTTATTTTTTTTATTTTTTAAAGATTCTTCTTGTAAGTCATTTTCCACCTGGTGCATCAGAAAATACTCCACAATCATATCAATTTCTTCGACCAATTATAAATGATCAATTTGTTAATTTATTGATTGAAAATGCTGATTTATTAATGGCTGGATTATTTGCTCATGAACATGTGGACAGTTTTCGATTATTGGTAACAAAATCAAGTTAGTTAGTTAGTTAACTGATTAATATGATCATATTTTATTTTGTGTTCAATGTTTCAAGTAGACGATTTTTTGTTTTTTGGTTTCGATGTAGTTCTCGATATAATCTGAGATTACATATACTCTCTGTTATGTATAGCGGTGATGATTTGTATTAGAGTCAATTGGCTTATGCATTAGGTTGGGTATTGTTGGTAGTCTTGTATTACTCGTAGACTATTAGATCGTACTAGTGATGATAGGAGATTGACGTTGGATGTATATTGAAATAGATCCATCATATATGAAGAAATTAATAAAGCAGTAGGTTGAAATGATAGAGTTGTTTACTGGCTTATGCAGATATCTTCATCAGTCGTCGATTTATCTCCAAGTAAATGACAACATTCATCTGTATGACCACCCAGATGGAAACATAACATTCTCTATATAATTTCGTAGATATGAAGACTTTTTGAAAGAAGATTTTACAAACCGAGACAATGTATGTAAAGTGGGAGTGTTGTTGAGACAGTGGAAAGCTTTGTGTCAATAACGATCTATCTTCGTGCGTCGGTGGTGGTGTTGTTGTTGTTATTTGTGTTAGATTCAATTGGCTTATGCATTAGGTTGGGTATTGTTGGTAGTCTGGTAGTCTCATATTGATTGTAGACTGTTAGGTTGTACTAGTATTGTTAAGAATCTTAGTGCTTTTACTTGACATATTCATGAGGAGAGGATATCAGTAAGTAGTTTCGAATCACTGATGCCATGGTTGACTGTTGAGTATCCAGATCTCTGAGTTCAACTGTGATTAATTAATGAAGAGACTAATTTAAGCTGCCGTACTTGAAAATCTCAAAGAAGAACTAACTAGAAAAATAATGATATTAAAATTGACACAGGTGTTGGGACGTTTGAGACTATTGTATGACTGTTTCATCCTTCAACTCTCTGATAGTGTATATCCATGACTCTATCAGAGTTCGAAATCTTGATCTACAAGTTTCACAGCTAGTTATCATTCATTATTTATTCTCATAGGTGATTTGATTACTTCTTAGAACTGTAGAAAATCTTACAACTAGTAGACAGGATTTCAATTTGGAGGTTTTTTTTGAAGGATTGATTAGTTTTAAGGTGGTATTTCCGTCGTCACTAACTGACTGACATCAGTGGAAAGAGAAGCATTAAAAGTCAGTGTATTGAATAACTTCAGTCATGGTTGGTTTAATATGACCATCGTTGCCTTCGTAGTATAGAACGTATTCCGTGGTGTCACCATGTGAGTAATGCAGAAGTTAGGTGTAGAGTTCTAGGGAGAAGAGGTAAGTCAGTTGACGAGGTTGTGAACCTTCATTGACTGAGATGGTTGGCTCTGACACGTACTACGTATGCCTAGTCACCGATTGCCTTGTCACACAATGTTCGCTGAGGTGGGTCCAGGCTGGAGGTGGCCAGACTAAAACATGGCACCAATGTATGACGTCTCTGACTGTTGGTTTAAGCCATGTAGGACGATGCAGACTAGGTGGTTGGGGTCCGCGGGACAAGAGGAACCAGTGGTTGGAGACCCTAGGTGATATGGCTGAGAACCGAAGTCAGTGGCGCAGATGTATGCCCACACACATTATTCTCATCTTAACAACGCTATACCGAATCTCACCATTTTGTCACTCCTTTTTCCTTTTATCTCATACTTTATATTTCTTTTGACTGCATTCACTTATCTTCATCCTTCACCTCACTACCTTTTTACTTGATGTACTGATATGAGGTGTGGCAACTCGGACCGTTACGCAGTAGTAATGCCTGGTCCTATGTTGATAATGATGATGACTTTAATATGATATAACTGGTGTCTATCATCGATGAAATCAATCGCTAGATCCTAATTTTCAACCCTATTTCATCGACTTTGGTCTTCTGAACGGGGAATGGGAGACACTTAGCCATCTTGTACACATCTATGTAGTTGATAATGTGCCACATATTATTGTGTATAAGGGCTAGTCAGTGAGACGGGGTTCGAACCCATGGCCGTTAAAGTTACAAGTCGATGCAAGACTTTCTCAACTGAATGAACATTTTTCCTGTGTGTCTGTGTGTGTGCAGCGCGGCGGGGTTGAGGATGGCATAGAATGTTAGATATTTTTGTTTATTTTAATCAGCCACTTTTCATAGTAGTCTTCATTATGAAGTTACTTCAGTTGATGAAATATTGAAACATTGAGAGGATTGGATAGCTGTTTCGTCAGCAGTGCTCATCCACTAGATCACAAAGGAGTTGTGACGAATGTGCTAGCCATTGAGTTAAAGTTCAATGGTACAGAGTTTGGATAATTGTATCCATAAACGTCTTCAATTGGCGTCTACTTCACTTCATTGGCTAGTTTAACTCACCGATCAATCTTGAAGTAAAGGTTATAATAAGCGTATAACTTAAATGGTTCAAGGTGAACTTATAAGTGGATAGTAGTGAAGAGTCTCGTCCCTTGGGTTCGTAATAGAACATAGGGCTTGAGTAGCAGATCTCCAATGCGCTTTGTTCTCTGAAATCTTTTGAACCTGGCTCCACGACAGCCTACAAGCTGTCATTTCCTCCTTCATGTCACCTTAGGATACGCCGCTCATCGTTTCTCATCTGGGTTCCACTTGAGTGTCTCCAGTCGGCCTTCTTAGTGTATGCCTAATCCATCTCCACTTCCTTGTTGTTTATTCTTATTATTCTGACCATCTGAGCTTCAGTTACTAGCCGAGTCCCGACCGATAGCTGCTACCTTGACGTGGTGGTCGGGCTTGCATATCACAATGACCCAACGAGCTATGCTGATGGAACACTTGTTCCCTCGAGGTCCTACCATACCAGAAAGGTCTGTTGGATAGTGGTTAGACGAAAAGCAGTTACCGTTATAGTGTAAATTGCTACACTATGATGGGGGTCTGAGGGCGAAGTCGTACTGCTGCTAGCTGAATGGGGTGTGACACCAGTAAGGTGTTTCCCTTGGATGACCAGCAGTGCCATGATGACGCTGCCTTCTCAGTGGAAGGAGAGTGGTTAGAAAGGGTCGACTCCAGAAATAACGCACACACACTCCACCAGGCCCCACGGTCTGCCTGGTCGGTGGTGTTGGTTCATTTGTCATTTCTTTTCGATCATCTGGCCCAAAAATACAAGAGTTCAAAACAATCATGCACAAAAGGCTGAGTTTGGCAGGCCTCAAGCAGATGTCCGATGGGCTCTGCGGTCACAAATGTCTTCCAGGTACTTTAAGAAGAAATAGCCTTCCACGGTGTGGGCAGCCGGGGAGTGTCAACCGCCCTCACAACTCTGTCCGCACCTAAGTTTCCTCAAACTGCTGTCCACCTGCCCCCTCACCACCTTCTAATCTTCCTTCACGTCTCAACTAACGATACTACCTCATCTTCAATTTCTCGTAGGTCTGTAGCCTTCGACAACTATCGTAGTTCACAGAACAGCATCCCTGGTCTCCTTAAACCACGCTCCAAATTACATATTGGAGCCTTGAATGTCCGCACCCTCCGTCAAATTGATCAACAAGTTAGTTAGACTATTGGAACACGAAAACGTAGTTAGATTAAAATGGGTAGATCTTAGAAAGATGAGGAATTTACATAAAAAACTTGACCATAGCTACGCATGGAATTGGAAACAATACGGTTGGGATAACACAGTGATAGTATTGAAAACTAACTTAGTTGTGTGGAGAGAGACATTGAAAATTTTATTTTTCAAGTTGTACGCAGCAACGACCCCGCACTGTTCAGGAGTTCCACACTAGGACGAAACAGCTGTTCAGTGCTCTCGAGTCTCTGAAGTATATAATATCAATGACTTGACTGACATTGGTATTGGAAAATCCGGATGTTGTTAACACTTGGTATGTTTTCATCGGTGTCGCCTGTAGTGTACTGTTGCCTAGATAGATGAAAGAGGTTACTTTGTTTAAGTTTCTCCTATTGATGTTCAGTTTATAATGAAATACCAATTATTTAATGAATAATAAAAGTAATTTTGTGTATTATTATTATTATTATTATTATGATTATAGATATATCAGTGGCTTCATTATTTCTTATGCCATCAATTTCACCGCTTCTATTGAATGGATTAGGTGATTTCAATCCACGTATACGATTATATCGTTATAAACGTTCAACAATGAAATTATTAGGTTATGCACAATATTATTTTAATTTAGAAAAACAATTATCACTAATTAATCATTCTATATTGAATAATTGGCAATTAGAATATGATACATTGACTACTTATCATATGAATGATTTATCACCGAGATCATTAACAATATTATACAATAATTTTATGAAAGAAGATAATAATTATTGGTCATATTATTGGCAATATGAATTAGGCGGTAGACAACATTTATCATTTCAATCGAATTATTTAACAAATGATACCGGTTTATGCCCTCGTGTAAAATCTCAATGTCGTTGTGATCATTTATGTGCAATACGTAATCTTCTGTTGAATAATCTAATTGAATGTCTTCAATTATGTAAAGATATCAATTATACTCTACATAATAATAATAATAATAATAATAATAATAATAATAATAATAATAATAATGGTGATAATGTATTGCACAATTCATTACTTACAGTTATTCTATCTGATCATATTAATTATAGTATATACTTGAATCGATCAATTATTAATCAGATAAGTATTACTAATAGTAGTGAACGTAGTAGTCTACCATATATTATTGGTGTAATTGTTGCCTTTCTAGTCATATTAATCGGTATTGTATTAATTGTTAATCGTGAAGTATGTAATCGTCATCGAGGTTATCAACAACGTCGATCATTATTGACTAGTATTATTCATGGTGGTGGTGGTGGTGCGTTGAATACACTTAATGGTGGATTACCAATCACTTCATTTCTTCAAGGCACTCGTACTCCTCGTACTACTACTAATAATAATAACAATGGTGGTGGTGGTGTGAAATCTACCCGAATAAATGATCATTATGGTATAGGTGGATCATGTATTGAATTGCATACATCTTTTAATCCATCCTATGATAATTTATATCCTTATTACTTCAATAAATCAATGTCATCTTTAAATGGTCATGATTTCTCCAATACTGATGGTCGTGGTCGTCGTGGTGATGATGATGATGATGATGATAGCGGTCGAAACCAACAAACAGATGTTATTATCAATCAATATGGTATTATTAGTAATGGTTTACCATCAGAAATTCTATCACCAACGCATATGATATCATATTATGGAAAAAATAATCGTAATAGTACTACTACTAACAGCAGTAGTTGTTGTAGTAGTAGTAGTAATAGTAATCAGTGTAGAACTATACAAGATTATATTGGTAAAAGGTATTCTGTACCAGATTATACTCATTTTACAAGAAGTTATCCATTAAAGCCTCCTTATATGTATATCACTACAACAGGAAAGAATAATAATCATAATAATGAACAGGTAGAGAATAAAATTCATATGCATGGTGAGAAAAGTAATACAACATGTGAACAATCTTCAAATTATCATCAATATATATCATCAACTAATCAACAAATTGATATTACTTGTCTACCAGAAGATTATTATGCGGATGATGAAGCATTTGCTGATGAAGATAACAATGAATTGAATCATAATAATTATTATATTCATCAAAATAATGATTATACTAATCATAATGAACAATACTTATCATCAAAAAATAATTATAATCATATAAATATTGGTAAGAAGTTAAGATTGAAATCGAAACCAATTAAGTATAATCATCATCATGATGATCATGATGAGAATATTTGTAATAGACAAGGCGTGAAATTCACAGAAGAAGTAGGAGATTCTATTGATGATCAAGAATCTCAACTTCTAGATAATGATGGTGATGATGATGATGATGATGTGAAACTTGATGGTGTAAAACATTTGAAAGATCGAAAATTCACCTTTTTTCGATCTAAATTAAATGATATCGATGTATATAATAAGCATTCATCTATATTATCGCATAGTCAATCAGCGGTTATCAATCAATCGACTATTAAAAATAAGGCCAATAATAATAATAATGATAATAATAATAGTAATCTTGGCAACTGTTCAACATCTTCTTTAATCATTTTACCAAATGAGTTAAATATTAATCAGCTGAATGATATACAACACTGTCATCAAGTAGACCAACAGACATCTCAGTCGAGTTATACATCACCTTCTAGATGTCTACCAAAATCTTCATCATCGATAACAACAATCCTTCATCATCAACAATATCCAATTTCTTCTAATATTCCCCAGACAATTGATTTACCTTCTCCACCTTCTATACAACAACAACAACAACAACAACAACAACAGAAGTTGTTCAACATATCTTCTTTACGATATCATCATAAATCCTTAAAACATAAAGATAATAAAACATTACTGAATTGTGATCATGATCCTATCATCACTACTACTACTACTACTATTACTACTGTTAATGATGTGATCAGTAGTCCTACTCCTTCTTTATCAATAAGCGCCAGTGATGGTGGTGGTGGTGGTGGTGGTTCATCACCTTCTCAGTTGCCTACCTATGATTATGTTCGAATGTCAAGTTAATACAATCAACTATATTGATGATCATGTATTGATTTTTCCATTAAAAATATACTTATTGTTATTTTATCCCTTACTTCTCCATGAATGTGTGTGTGTGTGTATGTGTCTATCTATATTCTGTGCTCAATCCATCCTTTGTTTATTTTTGTGGTTTTTGTATGTTGTTCAATGATGTCATTGTATGTGTATGTCTTTACACACCGAACATGTACATGAGTACGCACACACACACACATCACATGACATCCATCTGTTTTCCTCTTCTTGTTATTTCTTTGTTGTCAAAGGTTTCAGGAGATTTTAAAACCTTGTTCTCTTGAGACTTTAACACTTCTATGCATGTGTCTATGTGTGTCTGTGTTCCTTTATATGCGCCCCCCACATATGTTTGATTGAAGCGTTTTGTCTTCATTTCCTCCCAATCATTTACCATCCATGACACCACAATCAGTCAATATGTTTTTTTCTGTGTTCTTTTTTTCTTTGTACAAATTTGTATCCGATATACGGGGTGGTGTTTCAGGTTCGAAACCTTCCACTTCATGCCCCTCCCTCATCCATTATCGGGATGTACTAGTTATCTTTTATGCAATCTTTCTATATTGGCATATTCCTCTAAACATGTCTGATGCACCGATTTTCTGTGGTAGTTGCCGAGACTGAGACAATAAAAAATTATTATTGTGTATTATACCCCTGTGAAATTGCTCTGTAGCACAAAATTCTATTCAACGTTATCTATTTATGTAGACACATATACACATATGTATGTGTAATTCTGCTGTACAGATTCTCCAGATGAAATCAATAAATGATCAGTGTATTTCGATATCCACTTTTTAGTTGGGGGGTGGGGTATCCCTGATTGTCCTATTTTCATGTTTTCTTCCACCTTCCTTGTGTTTCGATCATTGATGTATGGTGTGTATGTATGTATGTATGTGTGTGTGTGTATGTGATTAGGGGACAGGGTACATGTTTCATTGAAATAAATACCCATCCCCCTTTTGTGTAAATTGTGTTTATAACTCTAAGCTGAAAGGTGATTTATTTTCACAGGTGGACATTCCACTATCAATGTAGTCACCAATTTCAATGTCATATAGATAAATAATCTTCAGAATCAATAAGGATGTTTATTGTTCCACTATCTGGAATGAATTGTCGACAGTTGTGTAATACAATACAAAATCTTGTACAACTGTGCAATTGGTTCAAGATGGCAATCATATGATGCCTTTGAATATAAAAAAAGCAGGTGATATATCCAATCGTATTACTTGGCATTTCTAGGTATTGGTTTGTCGCATCTCAAGGATGTTAGCTATGAAGGTTTAATAATTGAAATAAATACAATCAAATCTCTCCTCCGTTCTTCGGAGGTGGTGGTAGCCTAAACTTCTCATTTGACTGACTGATATACTCAACGTAGAACCTTGCACATAATTGTATCAACTAAAGTCACTTTACTTCACAGTAGGATCTAAGCAACAAACAGACGGAAGAAAGTAGGGAAAGTTGTGTCGTTTCGCGGGACCCCAGCCAAGCAGTCTGTATCTCCCCGCACATGACTCAGACCAATAGTCAGGGACTTCCACGATTATTGTGACATTTTCGTCTGGCCACTCTGAAACCTTTTTCGCCTTAATCCAACTTTCCCTAGCATAGCACATCAGGGTAGGCGGTAACTTGTCTTTCTTGCCTAGAATCGTTCATCTTATCTCAAAATTTCTTACACTATGATTCCACCAGTTGCGAGCAGTTCTACAAAGATGCCTGTAATCAAAACCGCTTGATGCCTTCTTTTCTGAACAGTTATTTCTCATTGCCGTACAACAGGACAGAGGGAAATACAATGCAGTATACTCGTTCTTTGAGAGGTATTTGGGAATTTCGTTAGTCGGGACCATAGATTACGCAAGATGGCAAATCCCGTACGTGTGTTCTGTATCCGAGTTGAGATTTCATCAGCAACCCGGGCTGCTGTAAACTAGGTGTACTCGCGTAAGACCAGTCCAGGAGCATCATCTTACATTTGACAGTGAAACGCATGCCAAACATACTCAGATTTCTCCTCAAGGGATTGAGGAAACCCTGTATTTCATGATGGATCGTGGCTAGCAGTGGAATCCAAGATGCGCATTTCGTCCTATTTGGGACTCGCTCGTCAGCTGATGTACCTGCTTCCCAGTGAGTGATGTTGTTCCCACTGGGATTTGGACTCGAAAGCGATCGCTTCAAACGCCAAGGCGTGATCCACTACACCACGAAATGCGCATCCTGGATTCCACTGCTAGCCACGATCCATCATTAATACAATTAGAGCGCAGATAATATTGAGGCATCTGCACAGGAGCCCATATGCCAATGGAGACCGATCAATTCGGTCCAAGCAACGACGGTATCATATAAAAACAATTATACTAACCCTATATTTCGTCAACATCTTCATTTAGCCGGACAATAATATCGTCTGCATCGTTCAAATCAACTCCCAAGGAGTAGGTTAATTCCTGTGAAGTCAGATGTAGCTAAGGTTTTGTTCATTGTTCATGTCTATAATGAAGTTGAATCAGAATGGTTTACAGTGGGCCTCCTTGGTGGACACCAATAATTGTCACTTCTAAAGTGCATGAGTTTGAGTAGAGAGCTTTCATTATGTTTATAAACCTGTTCGGTACTCTTTTCATAGTCAGATACTGCCACAACACCTCACGGTTGATGGAGTCAGGAAATATAGTAAGTATCTACTACTAGCCAGTAGGTATGCCTGTGTTCCAGAAGCTGTTGGTAGGTTAAATTATGATTTATGCACTCTCGTACAACTGTGTCTGATACTTGCCTGGGTTTCTCGAGTTTTCTGTTCTCGAGCTCATGTTAAGCGTCGGATAACTATAGACCATAGGATATTGGATATGCTGTAAATGATGACGTAATGTTTGAAAATATCTTCTGAGTTTGTTCTAACTACTTGTGGCTAGCTGAGCATGAAGATATATATATATATATATATATATATATATATATATATATATATAAACCATGGGTCGAGAGGCGCTAGGTGAAATGAATGAGAATGGAGAATTGTTTACTGAATTCTGCGCATTCAACAATTTGGTAATTGGAGGCACTGTGTTCAGGCACAAAGATATCCACAAAGCGACATGGATTTCACCAGATGGACACACTAAAAATCAGATCGACTTTATCTCAATCTAGAGAAAATGGAGACAGTCCACTTAACACAAGGTCAAGAAGAGGAGCAGATGTAGGTTCACACCACTCAGTATCTAGTGCAAGAAACCTTCCAAATCAAGTTAAAAGCCTTCAAGGAAGCTGGTGATGATAGACCACAGTTCAAGTTCAACACCCAGAACAGAAACTGAAGGATAAACTACCAAGGAAATCTTCACATCAGCCATCAGGACAGATATCGAAGAAAATCCCTGAAGAAACCTGTGTGGAAGAACACTGGAAGTCTTTGAAGGAGATGTGGAAACAAACCTGGACAGTCGTATTAGGAAGAAAGAAGAAAGAAGATAAGGAATGGATCTCAATGATATATGGAAGCTGATAGAGGAGGGAGAGGAGGATGGTGAAGCAGAAGATGAACCAGTGCAAGGATGCTGAAAGAGAGGAGGGACTGAGTACAATGTATAAAACACTACACTGGACAAAGAAGTGAAGAAGAGTGCACAGAAAGACAAAAGACACTTCTACGAAACACTGGCAAGTGAAGCAGAACAGGCTGCAGGTAGGAGAGAGAGAGACCTGACAACATTGTATCAAATAACTAGGTAACTATCTGGGAGGGAAGAGATCAACTCAGATAAAACCAATAAAAGATGATGACGGAAATCTAATTAAGAAAGAAGAGAAACAAAGGAAACGATGGGCTGGCCGATCACTTGAAGAAGCTCTTGAATCAACCACCACCAACACCTGCACTTCGTCCAGAAATACCACCTGCATCCCAGCCGCTGAACTACAAGTGAACATAAATCCTCCAACAGAAGTCGAAGTTGTGAGCGCCATAAAGCTACTGAAATGTGGGAAAGCAGCAGAACCAGATGGAATCTCACCAGAAGCACTGAAAACAGATGCAGACGCAACAGCGGACATGGTCACACCATTACTGGAGAGGGTCTGGAAGGAGGGGAAGGTACCTGGGGATTGGAAGAAGGGTTACCTTGTCAAACTGCCGAAGAAGGGAGACCTTAATGTTTGCAAGGACTGGCGCGGAATCACTCTCCTGTCTACCCCAAGTAAAATATTAAGCCGCATCATCCTGGAGATACTGAAGGATGTGCTAGATTCAAAACTACGACGGGAACAGGCTGGATTCAGGAAGTACAAATCATGTGCGGACCAAATTGCAATGCTACGCTTCGCATCATCATAGAACAGAGCATAGAATGGCAGTCAACTCAACTTTATCGACTTTGAGAAGGCCTTTGACAGCGTCGAATGAGAGGTAATTTGGAAACTGCTTCTCTACTACGGAATACCACAAACCTTTATCAGTCTCATTTAACAACTATATGAAGACTCCACATGTCAAGTAATTCACAATGGGAAGCTCAGTGATGCCTTTGAAGTGAAGTGAAGACAGGAGTAAAACAAGGCTGTCTACTGTCACCCATGATATTCCTGATTGTGTTGTGGTCGACTGGATCATGCGACAAACAGTGAGGAGTGAGAAGAGTGGGATAAGCTGGACTGCGGAAAAGAACCTAGAAAACTTGGATTTCCCCAACGATGACTTGTGTCTGATGTCACACAAACTTGAAGATCTACAGGCGAAAACTAACAAGTTGACAGAAGAGGCAGCGAAGACAGGACTTCAAGTGAATATAGAGAAGACAGAGGTGATGAAAATACCACACCACCACCAACAACAAACTCCAATCACCATCAATGGGAGGAACTTAAAGGAAGTAACCTCCTTCACTTATCTAGGAAGCACTGTTTCAACTACAGGCAGCGGTGGCACAGACGAGGATGTCAAAGTCAGAATCGGAAAAGCAAGATAGGCGTTCATTAGCCTGAAACCAGTGTGGAGATCTTCTGCACTCAGCATGTGGAACAAGATGCGGATTTTCAACACCAACATCAGTCAAGTCAGTGTTTCTGTATGATGGTTTAGAGACTTGGCGTGTTATGAAAGGGACTTCCAATAAACTACAGATATTCATCAACAACTGCTTACACTCGCTACTGAAGATCAGATGACCAGAAAGAATAAGCAACGAGGAACCCTTGCCGGACAACCAACCAACCAAGAAGCTATCGCTGAACAAATATGCAGTGGAAGGAAGTGGAGATGGATTGGGCTAGGCATACACTGAGAAGGCTGACTGGGGACATCACGCGTCAGGCCAGTTGCTCGATTGGAACTCCCATGGGAAGCGACGAGTTAGACGTCAGAGGGTGACATGGAGGAGATCGTGCGAGGAGGAAATGAGAGCTTGTGGGCAGTCATGGAGCCACGTTGAAAAGATTTCGGAGAACAGAGTTCACTATAGACGTGCTACTGAATCCCTATATTCCATTAGGAACCCAAGGGATAAACAATAATAATAATAATAATGAAGGGATCAACTGAATGGTGATTATCGAATTTCATTTAGGCAAAGAGTCATTTTTTAGATATTATTATAGACCTCCAGTGAATTGAAAAATTCTAAAAATCGCCTTAATCCCAGTATCTATTCTTGTTGTTTGCCGACTTAATGTTTCATGCTACTTCGGTTGTTTTGCCATGGAAATCATTATCTGTGATCATGATTGATTAATATGATAGAATTTGCATTAAGTGTGAATGAAGC